CTTCTTTGTCAGTATCTAACCCTAGACCACATTTTCTGCGTACTGGTTTCGTCTTGTTTTCACGTAACCGAACCAACGTTGACTGCTTTTGACCAGCTTCCCTGAGATTGATTCTACGCTTCAAGTACCTTTAATGAAACTGTGCTGGATGTGGTCGTTTTTTGCTGACACTGTACATCTATCTGACTGTTCGCATTTCTACCGAGTTCGGCTGTTGCTCATGTCTTTAGGATGGCCACTCATTCTTCTCCGTATTGAAGCACCAGTCGTCTTGGTATTGTTCTCTGTGTACCTTTCCCTTTAGCATGATGGGTATCTTCCTGTCCCACATAAAACCGCTCGCGCTCTTCTATTTAACCCCAAGTTTTTTGACCAGTTTTTTAATTTACTCTAGATTGATCCCACTGTCTTGGTGGATGGAACTAAGATGCTTAAATTCGTGGGTTTAAGGCAATATACTTCCCGCTAGTTTCACTGATTTGTTGGCTTTCCTTCTGTTTTCTCTATGAAATAAGTTATCATTTTTCGTAATTCTAATGCTGACCATTAGTAAAGAAACGTTTGTGCATTCCATTTGCCAAAGTGCGGTGGAGATGTTACTATCACCAGCGGTTGCTGTTCTAGTGTATCGGTAGAACTGTGGCATGCTTACGCGGTTCGTCAGCTTTTGGGAACAAGAAGGTCGTGTCATAATGACTTGCTAAACCGGTTTATTCCAATTATTATCCTTAATATTGATCATCGTAATGTTAAAATAGTTTTACATCGCATATAAAATTTATATTTTATTACAATCAATTTCACTGTCACTGATCGAGCTAGACCCATGTTTAGGGAGGCATAGTGCAATTGCAATAGATAAAACTGAAAATAGTCAAAGTTTTTTGTCATTACATACTGTGCAATGATCTTAAGGTCATGCACATACGATCGATGAATTGTTAATACGTATTGCAGTTCCAACCGGCAATTTTAGGTGTAGTTCATTCTTGGTTTCCTTCGCCAACTCCTTTGTTGTATTCTTTCAGAATAATGGTAAGTGATCTCTGTTGTCTCTCTCAAGACGTGTCAGACGGCAGGCGCGATTAACATATCTACTAATTTTATGCGTTCACCACTCATCTTGCAGTTCAGCGTTCAAATTAAGCCTCTAGCTTCAGACTCTTGTGTAAAATCTCTCGTTTGTAGTTTCTTTTTTCTTCAACCGATGGCTCAAGAGTACATTAAGGCAAAGCATATCATCTTCTTTTAGATCATTTTCTCGTTCACGGTGTCTGAGCAGCCCTTATTTCCATAGCAAGCAACGCTTCCAGCACCCGGTCATAATCAGCTTGAAGTTGTTCGACTTTAAAATTGATAAAGGTTTCTTGGTTCAGCTTCAAGCCTAAGATTGTTTTGCCCCATTTTTCTCAGAATGCACCTGTTTCTCTAAGTCTTTATACCCTTTTCCGCCTCCTGAAGTCATTTTTCGAATTTTTAGATGCGCTGCAGTAGCCATGGATGCCAACTCGCGCTGCGTCGACTGAAGTGCTTTTTCAGCTTGGTGCATTCTACCTCAGTACTTTCCAGACGAGCTCGACATCCTCTATATGTTGCACTGCCTGCAACTTTTCCTCCAGTATTCTTCACAGCGATTCCTTAACCATGGTATCTTATTGCTCCTTCTCATCAAACAACATTTTGCAACTGTTGCTTGTAGTTATTAATTAATCTAATGTTGCATTTTCTTTTTGCCCTCCTTAACTTTATACCTGCAAGAAGACTTTTTTGGATTTTTCAGTATTTGACCTATTTTTGACGTTTCCATTATGACTTTTGAGATATTCGTCAATTCAGTAGTTGTGTTTGAGGTTCGGGTGAAAGCCAGCGATTAATTTGATCCCCTGTCTCCTTTTATCGGACAGCTTTCTTCTCAATATTTGTTTCACGGCATGGACGTTGCTCTACACCCTTCCACCATTTAGGAAATGGTATAAGTGATCACCGTTTTGCTCTGACCTCAGACAGGAATTCTTGTCGATGTTGCTGACAGGTCAGAGTGGAATAGACCCAAATTTCGTACAGAATCAAATTCATCTCCTCACATTTCTTCACCAAAAACTCGTTGACCAAGCTGACAGTTTCTGTGTTCAGTATTTCTGACAATATTTCTTCGCGGATAATGATTAAATTTTGTTTTACACCGGAATCGTTTCACCGGTCGGTTAGCGCCAGTTTTCATCAGAGTGATATTGCAGCACTAGTAATACTTTGAACTGAACTATCAGAGTTTGATGTCTAATCCGAAATAGAACAGTATTCACGATAGATGACAGGAGTGTGTAGCCAAGTGACTCCAACTAAAGCTAAAACTGACTGCATCACTTCACTATGCGATGTCATGTAATGTTTTGGTTTTTGTCTACTCTGCACAATATTACCAAAAGTTGCTCCTTGAGGGATGGTTTTCACGTCGTTGTTGGACCTAGAAACGTTAGTTATTATAACCGCACAATTTCAGCTAATCGTTTACTTTTTTCTTTTTCAGATATCCTTCTTTCATAGACGCTCTGCGGGATCTAGAAGATCCGTTGTGCATGTGTTTTTTGTTCGCTAAAATGCCCAAGACCCATCGAGTCAATGAAGATATGACTCATCTTTGTAGGCGTCTCACAGTCGAGTTCATGCATTACATCATTTCACAGAAGGCGCTGCGTAAAGTAATAAAAAGTTTTCTTTTTGCGATATTCATAATTATCAACGTTGTTCATTCAGGTGTTCATATCGATCAAAGGAATTTACTATCAAGTGGAAATAATGGGTCAAAAGATCACGTGGATCGTACCTCACGAAAGGCGTATAAGTGTACGATCAAACATTTATTAGTGATTCTTTATGTCTATGTTTGTACGGACAGTATGGTTAGGCGGAGTACTGCTTGTCATTTGCACTTTCAGCATATTAGGACTCAGCATATTCTGAGCTGGATACTTCCTTTTGAAAATCTTTTTTAAGTGGTTGCGGATTGCGGCAGCTCACTGGGAGCTGCTTTAATATGACATGTAGTTCACTTATCTGTTGTATATAGATAGCACTTTACATCTTGGCACTCTTTTCGTGCAGGTATTGTTCTCATGTCTGTGTTGTTTTGGAGACACATCTGCAGTGTTATAAGTCATTGTGTATGCACTATTTTGTATTGTTTCCTTATACTAATTAGTTATCACTTGAAAGCGAAGTGTGGAGATGACATTGATTTCCATTTTTCGTCACCAAAAATGAATATCATATCATCGTCGTTGTCTTTATATCATCATGATAGAGTATCGCGGGTGCATACAGCTAGTGTTCTCCTTAGCTGTTTGTATAGTTTCAGAACAACGGTCTTTGAGGTATATCTTCTGTACGCTATTAATTCTCCTGAGCCAAACGCGCCCTGAACACTGCTTAATAACACTTCTATCAAATAAACAGTTATTTAGGGGATTTGATTTTTTGGTTTTCTTTGACAGACTTTAAGAGGATGCCTTTCTCTTTTTATTCGAATTCATTAGTGGAATTCGTCTAAATAAAAGATATACATATACCACCCACTTACATTTTCACAGCTCATTATTTCTATTAGGCTCTGGGGGTAGCCTGTTCAGAAAGTTTTTATTCCAAACGAGCTGGATTCTTACGCGCGACCGTAAGGTATTCACCACTCTCAAGCCACTAGTTTGTCCCTTGACTACCCTTTTTCCGCCTTGCCATGGTCTCCTATTATATCCTGATCATTTGTCAAAACTGTTGCTATGGTGGCATTTTGTTCTAAAGACGGAGAGAACGCGTCGCACCAGCGATAGTATCACAAACTGTATTGTTGGTAACTTGTGATATGAAATCCTTAATGTGTCAAATTTCACTTTTCCTGATTCGCACGGTATAGTTGCAGCGTCCCCTTCCTTCTAGTTTTCTGGAGGACGACTTGCTGTAGCACCTACAGTACATGGGCAGTGAACAGCACTACTTTGCTGGGTCAAAAAATACCAACAAATATATTTCAATCTGTGGACATATGTAGTAAAAATCCAATAGGTGTTGTAGAGGTTTTCTAAAAAGTTGCTTGTTTTCAGTACTGCAAACGAGAATAACAATCCTGTCAGTTTTCTGAATTCATACGGCGTAGTCGAACCATCGAATCCGGAGATGTGATTGGAAACTGTCATTCCTGTCGGCGGTAATGGAAACTAGTAGTCTGTGAACAAATCCATAATACCGTGGTTTATTCTGTAGACATTCTATTGAAATACTCTACTCGGTCCGTCTTCAGAGGTGTAACTTCGGAAATTTACCCCGAAACATGTCATCTTTCAAATATACAGTCTTGTGCCATTTTGAATGTCATTCTGTTTTCTTTACGTTACATTGTAGGTTGTGAACGACGTCGATTTCAGCATCATGTCGTCCTTCCTTGAATTTTATTGCACTTTGTTGGGCTTCGTTAATTTTCGGCTCTACCTAGAAATCGGACTGCATTATCCTCCACAGGTACACTGTAGACAATCTGTTGCCTTATTCTTAACCACCGATAATTTCTGTTTTATTAAAGTTGTGTTCCGCGAACGAAAAGGATACAAAATCATACTCCACAGATGATGAAGCTTACATGGAAGTGAGTTTGCTAACGATCCTCTGACCGTTCATATGTCCACTTTTGACTTATAGCGTATAAACGTCTTGACTCAGTCGCTTGTTAGGATGTACGATCCCAATGCCGATGGCGACGACGTCAAAATCGATGAGTTTAAACCAGAAGTAATTAATTTGCATAAATTTTTTCTTCTATTTTTTGTTTTGTTCATCTGTAAATTGTTCAGCCTGGCGATGCGGGTCCCATGGAAAAAGCGCTAGAAGAACAGAAGAAAGTCGAACGACTGCAAAAGCTGTTTTCCAATTGCAAGTTCTTTTTGAATCGTGAAGTGCCGCATGAATCAGTCACTTTCGTCATAAGGTAAATTTGTGATGGGCTGCTTTCCGCCATTTTTCATAGTAACTTAAACCACGCGATTCAGCAGCGCACAACTTTGTGATTCGGTGCCCTGTACATACTGACCATGTTGCTACAAAACCTAATGAGTAATGTCATACGTCTCGGTTACTGGCTGCATGGTGGCCGTGTAGATATTCAGTCTCTGTTATAAAGTTTAGCTGTCTTTGTCTGATCGCGTCTGACTGATAACATTACAGGACAGAAGAGGTAGAAGCATGTTACTAGAACTATAACCGCTTGTGATTCCTTCAATTACAGGGTCAGAGAATTGAGCACAACAGGCCTATGAAACTTACGGATAATGCATCGATGCGGAGGTTAGCTAATGAGGTATTGTTATTCACCGTTCTTCAGTCTGTGATAGTGGGCAAGCATAATGTGGGGCCAACGGTTCTAGCGAACTTTCGCCATGTTCTTATCTCCTAATTCCGTCAAAATAGAGAATGCGTGGAACTGTCGCGAGTACGAAAACAAAACTCTTGTAGCTGAGCCGACATTTAACGATAGCATTAATCTGTAGATTTGTAGACAAGACGAAAGGCTACCGTTTTCAATTAGTGAATGTGGCCACAGGCGTATTGGTAATTTAAGTCTCATCCTAGCTAATTTCCAGCAAAGATGAAAACTTTCGTTTTATGTAGTAGTTCGACAAAGGAAAATGGAAAGCGTTCGCAAGGTGAAAAAAGGTAAATGACGTGCGTACAGTGCAGTGTAATGGTACTCAACCACTTCACTGCTGCAAATATGTAACCCAGTTTATGAAGGTTCGCATCTTTATTTTCGTAGATCATGTGGCGGACAAGTTTCTTGGGACGAATCGACCGACTACGGATCTACCTATCAGGAAGATGATCCTACAATAACTCATCAGATCGTGGACCGGCCAAAAGTGACAAAAAAATATTTAACAAGGTAATGTTGATTAATTGTAGTTAAATTAAGAACTTTAAATAAGTTAGTTAAATAATTCGTATCTCGTATCTTCGTTGCATTGAAGGCCGTAAAATATAGATAAGTTAAAATTTAAAAATCAAGCGCCAACTTATGACCCATACCTCACGAACTTGGATCATTTCCCTTTGACGTACTGTATCCGTGGATGATGTATTTCGTTAATGTGTTTGTTGTCCTACTGATAACAGCGTAAAGCAACAGAAACAAGTAGTTAATTGGACAACTAATCAGTACCGATATTTCGACCCGTGTCTCACCCGCATTTTTTGAGGTAGTGAGGTTGATTGTCTTTGGCCTTCGAAGCCTGCTGGCTCTGAACTTATGAACCCTGTAAATGACAAGAAGATTTTCTGAAGTCAGCAAACCTCCCTATTAAAGAAAACCCGTGAGACACGGTTCGAAACGTCTGTACTGGTCAGTTATCTTATTAACCAGCTGTTTGCACTGTGTATAAATAAACCGTGTTTTATGCTGTTTTAAGTTAATGTATAATCTACAAATACTTTCTAATCATCCATCATAATTAAGGCCGGCAATTTCTCAACGATTCTTTTCACTATATGACAGTTTTAAAGTACAGATTCAGATGGAAAACATGATTAATTTGTTAGCATAATCATCTTGAAGTGAGCAGAATCCAAGACCAACAGAACTTCATCTGCTTCGTCTCCAGAAGAGATTTCAGGAGGCTGTTGATTCCATTTGCAAAGAATTAGATGCTTATACGGTATGCAGTTCCCCTTCTTTCAACAAACTAAGTGCTTTGCTTTATATAAAGAGCATTGAACTGAAAAAAAGCTGAGGCTCCAATCATGTTATTTAGTCTGTTCTTATGGAAATACGTTATATCAGTGAAATTTGAAGCAAGCTCAAAAATTGACTACTGGAACATAGTTCCTGCTTGAATAGAGGGGATGGGAAAGTTTCGGCTGTAGCAAAACCAAGAAATAGTCAAGAACCATATCATGCAGTAGGATTCTACTTTAACGGAAAGAAAAGAAATCAGTTGGAAAAGAACAAAATTTGGAAGTGATCATAGTAGAGCGAACACATGGTAAGATTGACTGACTAAACGAAACCTGTTATTGATTCACCGTGGCTACCTTCGTAATACATGTATTAGGAAATTTTATTTTTTCAGGGTTGCTTATTGAAATTTGTCATTTATTTTGGATTGTCTGGTTTAACTTCGATTCTATTCTATAGTGGCACACCTATGGTACTGGTATTGGAAAACATTTCTATGGTACTGGTACCATTCAAAACTCGTTATGCAAAGGAGTTATAACTGTGTCAAATGTGCCCCGTCGTTTAGATACTTACCGTCTTGAGTTATACGGTTGCTATGGAGTCAGTGAATGCGCGCCTATTCATTCCGTGTTAAGTTATTTAAATTGGTAACTTAGAATGTAAATATATAAAGTTTGTAAATTTTATTTAAAACCGCTTTAAATAATCCTTCAGAACTTCCTAGTATTGCTTCAAACGTTATGAGACTATATGTTCTGGTTGAACGTTAGGAATTCTGGCCTAAATGACGGATGTCCATCGTGTAAAGCTCGTTTTTGGTGGTACAAAGGCAGTGGATGAATATTTGATTCGTAAAAGGCATTCAAACAATTATAAGTCACGTCTGATGAAACATCTATCTAGAAGTTTAAGAAGTAAATTGGGATGTAAAGCTTCGCAGTTGTATTTTATTGATATTTTCGGAGCGTTGGAAGTATTGAATAGCGGAGATTCACACCGTTAAGATGAATATATATACTTCTGTAATAAATTCCTCCCTCTTGTAATGATCAGTTTTATATCATTAAATAAAGAAACATCCCAAAATTGCTACTTTAGCGGCCCACCGTCCAAAGCAAGGTACTTGAAATAAAGAACACAATGAGACGAGATATTTTATTCAGACAAGCCTCATTGTATACTACGCTACTAGTTGTTCACGTTTCATATTCACATAATTTTTTTTCAATTGTGTGAAGTACCTAAATACCTTTGTGCAGATGTTGGTGTCCTTAAAGGTGTAGAAAGAATTTTTTTACCAATGTTGCCCCCATCCATGGAACACAGTATTTCTGACACTCGTCTTCCTTGAAACTAATTATTTCTTTCAGTAATATCGGTTTCGATGCCATCCACATATGCCATTTACGGCAATATTTACAACCAGATGGAAAGCAGGGCGTGAACTCTCCTGCTTGCTTTCAATGTGTGATACTCATTTAACTACCTCTGAATGATACAGGGCAGATGATCGGATCTGTATTTTAAAGGTTATTCTTGCACTTTTCCAAATGAGCTACCCAAGTCTAACGAGAGGCTATGACTGCCGCAAACGCTTTACACGTTAATATGCTATTTTAGAATCTATATACAGCCTCAGTGGGTGTACGACTGTGTGAATAACGCTTTGTTGCTGCCCCCACAGGACTACTTCCCTGAATGCCGGTTGCCGCCTCATTTGTCACCATTCGTCGAGGAATCAGAAACCGACTATATACCGGAAGAGAAAGTGAAGCTGTTGAAATTGCAGGGAAGAAGTAAGCAAACATCTTCAAATTAATTTTTTGTTGTCCGCTAGACGGTGTGTGGCAGTGCATTAAAAGTGGCTGGATACAGTATTTTTTCACTAGAGGTTGATGTTATCGTTAATCGGTGTATTGTGAACAACATTTCTGCACCAGTGGTATATATGGTTTTGGGAAGGCGTGACTATCCATTCATACCACTCAGTGTTCTCTGCGCTCGCCTCATTGTTCAGACCTTTTATCACGAGGTTGCCCGATGATTCGCGGGTAGACTGATGTTTCTCACCCGTGTCGAAATTCAAATTCATGCTTATGCAGTCAAGATAGTCATCTTCCTATTTTCGTGTCGCTGTTAGGTATGAAATGATAAGGTTTATCTGCAAGGTGCAATAGGTTGATAAGTATGATTCGAGATGTCAAATGTTTCAACGTTTAACATATTTATTTTTAAGCATTAATTGATTCGCCTTTCAGATGTGATTAATTTGCCAAAGTTGGAGAACGCCAGATCTCTTCTGAATGATCCTTCATCAGCGTCCACATCTAAAAAACGGAAGAAAGAAAAGAAGCCGTTGACGGAGCTGGGAAAGCGCCCTGTCTCTAACGAAGCAGACGTTAAACCGGATTCCGTCGCGGATATGCAGGTGAAGCCCGGCGTTGTCAAGCGACTGAACGCGCATCAACAAATTGAAGCAATGGCAGAGGAGAAGAAGCTGCAGGAGATGATGATAGCCAAGAAATACAAACGTCTTTATCGCAAACTGAAATACGACCAAAAGGAAAAGCGCAAGGAGGTATGTTTAAGTTTCAGCTGGATAATTTGTGGATGTTTTTCTAAAAACCATTTTGCTTCAGTTCAACAATCTCCTGCGGAAAAAATACGCATTAAAAAGTGGAGTTTTGACTGACAACGCTGGAAAGAGAATTAATTAGTATTTTGTTTGTGATAAATTTTTGATGTTCAAATTCGTTCAACTTTGAAATCACAATATCATTCAAGACAAGTACCTCTGTTAAATCGTGAAATGTATTAATCTGAGTTTGCTAACAAAAGTTTGCGATGTTATCGGTTAGCATTGCGTAGACGTCCTCTGAATGTACGCATAGTCACACTGTGTCCTTGCTCTTAAATAACCAAGGGAACCCTTTAAGCATGTAATGACTTTATTATGCAGTGACATGTGCTGTGCATAGATGCAAAATCTCGCCCGTTACTATGCTCAAACACCGACTAAATACGAACACACGGAGAAACGACAAATGTACATAATTCAACCGACGGTATCGAATATTGGAAGTTAATAAATTTTGGTAGTTAACCTAGATATGCTGCGCTTTTGCATGCATTTGCCTCACACGCTGTATTACCACACAGTCGTGATCTGTCTGAAGGACTTCACGGGCTTTTGCAGCAATGAGGCGGTTTTTAAGTCTTAAGAAGAGACGTGTGTAATAGTCGTTTATTCAGTGTTTAGAAATTCATTTAATACGAAAAAATAAGCGATTTCTGAATTGTTTAAAATGTAACAATGCAAAAGCATCACTTGAGTCATCCTATCTTGGAATGCAGTTCAGCTCCCGAAAGGCTTATATTCAACAGGAAACAAGAACCAGAACTTACAGTTATCAAATGCATAAACAAAAATACGTATTGATTTTTTGAGTAACACTTAGATCTGCTTTTGGGCATTAGGTATTACTTTGTTGTCAAAGTAGAGGTTTCTAAAACGTATTTACTGATTAGTCTGGTATTGCTTTAAACATAAGTAATGTTACATGCATCTAACACTGTAGTTGCTCATCTGAGATTGCAGAAGTCTTCTTAAATGGCTCGCTAAGCATCTGGGACGAATAAGGAGTGTGTACGCCACATGGTCTCATTTCAGAGAATTGTATTAATTAATAGCCGTTGAGAATGACAACAAATGACATTTAGAATTTTCGCATTTCTAGAATAGCAGAATTAACTGTTATTTTGCAAAAAGACCTAACCAAAAACTGATGTATATATTGTAGTAATCTCCAGCAATTTTTCCTATAATTATATCTTGAGGTTTAGTCCACAGGTACTCTAATCAAGTGGTTCAAATTAATTAGTGCGACAAAACAGTAGCAGTTGTGATACAGGCCATAATTTTAGACATGTCTGAATAACAAATTTTTATTTATGAGCATTCTACGTTTTAGAGTTTGTTCAAAATACCCTAAGTCGATATGTGTGCAGAATGCTTATAAATAAAAGTCTTACGCGTTGATATTTCTGACGCGATTTGCGGCACCACATTGCCGTTACCGCATAAAGAGCTCGTGTATTTGTTACATTCACATCTGTTTGGCGTCAGGCAGGTGGCTGGTCTTAAAACTCAGCGCTAAAGCCAAACACAGTGAGTAAACTTGTCTCTGGGAAGAATGTCGTGTTGTTCTCTACCAGCAGTTCGCGTAGCATCAAATTCCGGTGGCTGTTAGAAATGAGCAATAAAATCAATCCGTATGACGGCTCCAGTTACTAACGGAGATATTTCGATGCCGAACAATGCCAATAGCCCCTTGGAACGTTGTAACAATGTCGGGAAATGTTACGGAGCTAGCGGAAGCTCATCAGAGAAAAACGGTTCAGATGACTTGCATTCAGGAGACGAAAATAGAAACATGAAAATTCGAAAAGGATCGGACTATGCCATAAACTCGTTTATTGCAGAACATCGAGCAGAAGAAATGGAGTTTGGTTGTACTGAAAGAAACGATTCAAAGCAAGGCATTCGAAGCACATCGAATCAAAATGTGCGTTAGGCTGGAATTCAGTGGTAGGCTCTTAGACATCATAAGTGTCAACGCTCCTCAGATTCGCTACTATGAAGTCAAAATTCTCAAACAGTAGAGGTATTGCACGACGGAGCATACCGCGGAACGCAAAGGTACTGATCGTACATGAGCGTAACGAGCATGTCGGCAATCATCGATTGGATTACAATGGGATCCATAACGGACATGGACATGGTACGTTAAAAAAAGAGGGAGCGAACGTCGTACCAGTGGCAGTTACATCTAGCGCAATTGAAACGCCAGTCATTCCGCAAATAAACGTGTGGCGTGACGTCGCGCTTAGCTAAGTTTATGTGATCTACCATCCCAAATAAAGACATGATACCATCTTCAAAGCCAAGAAACGAATGACTTTTTCGACACTAAAATACGACGTGGTGCACCGATTACACCAACACAATGTTATGTTTATGCGGTAGTATACGCACAGTACCAGCTCCTGGAACATCAGTCGTGATTCTGACGTGGCTTAAGCGGAAAAAATGCAAGATGCATCTAGCACTATAGGTGTTCAAGTACGATGGACCTGTGGCTTGACCAAATGGCGAAAGTAAGCAATTAAAAACAAGAAGGCACTAAATACGCCGTGAAATTTGGTCCTAGAGGAGTCATTTCAAATACTAAGGGCAGCCTATCACATGTACAAAATTGGATTATAAGACAACTAATATGCTACTGCACTGTTCCTGATTAGCATTAGCGTGCGGTACTACTGGTATTATTGAGTACTAATACAATTACTGTCGACAACAAAA